CATTCTCTTGAAAATATGCATTTCTGTAGCTTCTACTTATTGGTCCTAATTTTTACTTTTTAGAAAAGTAGATTAAGTCTAATCTCTCTTCACTATGCCAGTCCTTTGAGTATTTCTGTGGCATTTTTGTTCCTCCTTCATCCAGTCCCTTCTGCTGTAGGTTCTTTCCAGGGTTGATGGATCGAACACGTGTGCCAGCTCAGCCTATGACACAGCTCCTCTACTTTGGCCACACAGCCCAGTTTGCCCAGGTCCCTTGTGTGGGTGCAACACTGCAGCTCAGAGCACACCAGGGAAGCCTCGGCCTCTCCCTTGTTCTAGAAACGATACTTCTGTTGATGCAGCCTATGCATTCATGAATGCATCTAGCAGCACCATTAACTCATTCTGCGTTTACTTGCCCTGTGTCTGAACTGCTCCTAAACCCCAAATTCTTTTCTGTATTCATCCAACTGGCAATGAAACTCTGATGCAGACTCTTGTTTTTATTGTTATTACATTTCATCCTATTAGATGCAGCCCATCACTTTCACCTGTCGAGGTCTTTTTGTATCCCAATTCTGTCACCCTCTGTGTTTTCCATCCCGCTTAGATCACTGTCATCTGAAAATTTGATAAGCTTGCCTGCTATTTCTTCATTCTTCATTCTTCATATTAGATCTTAATAAAACTATGGAATAGCCTGGGGTATGACACCAAAAACCTGTCCAAACTGTTATTGATCCATTAGTCAGCACCCTTTAGTATAAAATTTTAACAAGCTTCAGATTGTGCTTATCTATTTATGAGGATTTCACCAGGCACTTTGTCAAATGTAGAAACACCAGGTCTATAACATCTAAAAGTCCCAGAACTCTATGCTTATTAACAACAATAATAACAACAGAAGGAAACAACACTGTTTGAAAACATAATTGTCAATACTAATCTTTTAAATGTTTATAAAGTTGCATTGATAATCCATTGTTTAATTCTACATGGTACTTTTTTTTTAAAAAATCTAATTCACATTTTTGAAAATAAGGAGACACACTTGGAGAATATTTTCATAGTTGAGGACCTACAATTCACATCCCTATCTACTGTGTATTTGAATATGCCTGGGTATGTTCGAAGGCTGACTCGATTGGTCCACTGGATGCCTATTTGCATGAAGACTTTTCAGGAGCTTTATTAGAAGGTCAATGACTTGGCATAATGAGACTAACACCCTGCTCCAGAATCAAGACCATACGTCTTCATGAAACTGAAGTTTCCCTTTATTGAACTAAGCAGTACTCCAGGTGGGAATGGAATGTACTGCAAGGCCAAAAAGAATTAGGATGCATGAATTTTGTCTGTAGGTAATGACTGGGATAATTTTCTATTATAGCAGGGTGTCTGTTGCTTGAATTCCCTTTTTGTTCCAGAGATCAAGGGAGAAATCATAGATTTCAGGCAACCATGAATTGGAGTCCTGGCTCTACCACTTAATAGCTATGCCACAGGATCTGTTGTTAGAGAACCATTGCTACTCCCTAGTGAAAACCACCTTTTTGTAAATTCTTACAAGTTTTAAAATGACCTTGAGTCTAGAATTGTTTGAGAATTCCTAGTGCTCCTACTCTAGCTTTTTAAATTTTATATCTCACCTCTTTCTACCATAGAATTTATTTGAAATTATAGGATCAAAATTAAATCTCTACACATTCCCTTTTCAAGTTATATTCCATTATAGATTTTTTTCCTGAGTTTAAAAATATGTTTTTCCTAAGTCCTTAGCACATATCTGACCACATTCAGCTTTTCCTTTGCTGATAATCACTTCTTCTACATGTTCAAAATAGTTTTCGCTCACTAAAAGAGGTTCGTATAACACAAACTAAGATTCTAATTTTCCTTATTTTTGTGACACAGTGCCTCTTGTTCTAACAGACTGGTTCCTATGAATTAAGGTTTAACTTTATCTTGGATTCAAGTCATAAGTTCTTCTTCCTCTCTTGGTATCACCCATGAGGTCCTATTTACCCTATTATTCCATGAAAACACTTTATCACCCATGTGCTAAACATTGGTATGCAGATCTACCAATGTCTTCAGCACTGTGTCTCATTGCTGAACCAATGTTTCAAGTGTGAAACAATATGCATCTCTTCTACTAATAGTTAACATTGTATTCTCTATAGTAATTAGATTATGGGTGTTTCTATTCAATTTTTTGTAGCCAGTTTTAATTTAATTTCTTTTGAAATGTTCAATATTTCTTGATGTCTACATCAAGAAAACTCGTTTTATGGTCCAAACTGAGGATATATATTGTTTCCTCATTCTTAAATCTTAAGTTATGTCTAGAAATCTATATCTCATTCTTTGACATTATATAGTCTGTCATTTATTTTCTCTTTTCTTATAAAATGACAACTTTCAGTACTATTTAGCAAACACTGACTATGTCTTAAGTCCCTCAAGCTCCTGTCTCGAAGGGGTGGGGAGCCTGCAGCCTCAAGGCCACATGTGGTTTTCCAGATCCCCAAGTGCAGCCCCTCGACAGAATCCAAATTGCACGGAAAAAAATCCATATATTAAAAGTATTTGTTCTGTAAAATTTGCATTCAGTCAAAAGGCACATTCAAGGATCCAGAAGACCACATGTGGCTACAGGCTCCCCACCCATCCACACACCCTTCTCTTTACCACAGGAAGACTGCAAAACACCATTTCCCAGAATCCTTTTCCAGCTGGCATCCAATGGGAGGCAGGACAATTGAAAGTTGGAGGAAAGAAGCCATGTTTTTATGCCTTCTGCTTGCACCTGTGGTAGTGCCAGCAGCGGCAGCCAAATAAGCAACAGCAGGAACAGCAGGGACGGCAACAGTGGTGACAGTAACATTAACAGTTCTGGCAAGAACACAGAAGCAAGAGTGTCTTGTGAGGTACCTGAGGCACTGCTCAGGCAGTGTTATTCCAAAGGAAGCTGCTCCGTGTCATCGTGTCCATGGGCTGTGAGTAAAATCATTTTCCCTTTTGTCCTCCAGCTCTAGGTATGATTGTGGTTTAGTGTAACTGCCAATCCTCCAATAACCTAACCTTCCATGTGGTATGCTCTAGAATGCGCTTCATCATGTCCTGGAAAAGCATTCAAGGAAGACTCAATCGACAATGTCGATTTGTCCGCATACAGCTGTTATCACTTGGTAGAGAATCCTTTCAACCTCTCAGATCCAATGATAGGTTCCGTGGTATTTGCTGGCATTTGCAGACACTTGTTTGTGCCATGTTTATTTCCCAGAAGCTTTGTGTTCACATTATCAGAAAAAATTTTCAAGCCTTTTGTGGTTTTGAGTCCTTCCTTTCTAATATAAGGCATTTATGATTCTATTCATCACTCTTACTTATCTCCCTCTTATCTTTCCCTTAGTCTCCTGAGAATTTTGAATTTGTGGTTTTCTTTTGTGTTTCTTCTTTCATTTTCTCTAAGAACTCATCTTTGCAGATAAGCTGGCATTCGGAAGGAGACTTCTAAAGAAAGAAATCAAGTCAGTAGTAATAATGCTATCACAGAAGAAGGGATGAGGTCAGTGTGCGCAATAGTCTTACGCCATAGGTTCACTACTATCATATTTAGCCTCAAACTCAGATTAAATACAGAGAATATCTTACCTTCCTTCAAAATGAAAAAGGTGATATCAATAGGTAAGGCCAAAATGCTAATTTGGAGTGTGATGTCATGATTCTTAAAGTCAATGAAATCACATTGCTGATTTTATTCTTCATAAAATTTACTTATCTGTTCTCATAGAGATAAAATTTTGGCTAACATCTGCCCCTGCATGAAAGAGGCAGTTGTTTGTGCTTTGAAATGTTATCGGGGTCTGAGCATCCTACAACTTTGACAATGCATTCTTTCACAATTTCTACATCATTGAATGGCTTTCCTTTTTCCCTGAGTATATAAGCTACTCTATAAGTTGCTTCAGTGGCATCATTTCCAAGTCTTATTTTTGCTTGAAAGAATTGTTTGTGCTTTTGCTTTTCATCTTTTAATTTCTGCAATACAACCTTTCATGTATCTCCCTCAAATTTAAAATACTTGTGGTCCTTATGAGTATTACAATGCTGATGAGCATTGAATTTCTTTAATGTTTACATTGCAGTATCACAAAGCAAGCAAATCATCTTGCCTTTAGCAGAAACAAGGTAATATTGCAATTCCTTTACAAAAGGCATATGGAAAAAAAATCTATTTTCTTTCTTCAGCATTCTCTTGGTCTTCTTAGACATGATGGGTTGTTAAGCAGAAAGAATTGAGCTGTGTAACTATTCACCAATTCCACTTCAAATAGAAATGCAAATGCAAGTGCACTGTTGTCAAAAGCCAACAACAGACTGGTGTATTGAGCCCCCATAAACTCTTGCCAACCAGCCTCATGCAGTAGTGGTGCCAGTCCTGGGGAAACTTAGAACTAAATCATGAACATAGCAGCTGTCAATTTAGCCCGTATGGCTTACTAATGTTCTAATTATGCTAGCCAATCTGGAAGGATTGAACCTTATTTCATTGAAACTTGTTTTATTCTTTGGTATTTTAAATATGTTCATTTAAAAACTAAAACAAATATATGAAAGACAAAAATGTATTAATAAAAACAAAAGAATTTCTTCTGTAAAATTTGTATTCAGTCAAAAGGCTGCACTTAAGGACCTAGTAGGCCACATGTGGCCTGAAGGCAGCAGGTTCTCCACCCTGTAGGGAATAAAGAGAAAGCAATGAGGATGGCGACGACTGACTCCAAATCTGGGAAATAGTCATATAAGGGCTTCTTGCCCTGATGGATTTCTTAGCCTTTAATATTCAGCATCTATCTCCATGCACATTCCTCCCCATGTCTGCATGTAACACAGATATGGTAGATTTAGATGATACTTGATTAGTCATCTAATTAGTTAGACATCTGATTAGACAAACTTTGAAAGAAAGAATATCAAACTGTGCAGTTGAATGTTATCCAGAAGCAGGGAAAGGCACGCAGCCAAATTCCTCCAGCTCTTTGTTTTGTCACATAGTGTTGCTTGGATATCAGCTTATCAACAGACTGAGTTTCCACTGCCACCACTACAGGAACGAAGAAAACTGCATTGAATACGAATGCCAGCTTTTTAAGACAGGAGAAGTACAATACAGGGTAAGTTCATTTTAAGCAAATCTGTCTTTTTGTTTCTCATATGTTATTTTGTAGATTTTTTTTTCTGCCTGAATACCCTAAGTATTTTAATCAAACTTTATCAGGTATAGACCACTTGAGTAGGTAAGATGGATTTCTTTAGCAATAGCCCAAGAAAAGCATACATGAATTGTTGCCACCAGAAAGAACATCAGTCATTTCCTTATGCTATTTGAGGAGAGAGGAAATCTTTCTGGCTTTGAAGAATATTTGTTCTATGCTCTACAGAGCTGGAAAATGGGAGGGGAGATGCAGAAGATGATTGGAGTACAGGATAGAGCATAGGTTTCAATTACAGAGAAGATTAAAAGAGTATATCTTGCTTGGTATGGTTTCTGGAGTGTACATTGAAGGAAAGCAGCATTAAATAAAATATTTATAGTTTAATTTATAAGGTTATATAGTGGAAACAGTATACACAGACATGTTGACTGATGGTTTCCTAATAAATTTTTCCTCTGGACGATCTGAGCCCTAGATGTGTGAACTCAGAGCCAGAGTCTTCGCACTTATTGAAATATGTCTTAAGCAGGCATCGTGAGCTCAGTGGATCAAACAACCCAATGTGGTGGGCATCATAACCACCATCATAAAGATGAGGGAACCGAGGCTAACAGAAGGGAACAAACTCAAGTCTGTCCAGTTCTAAAGACCACTCAGCCTCTATTATAGTTTCTTTTCTTTGGTTAGCATGTGGTACAGGTATAATCTGATCTGTTTATGGGATCTGTTACTGTATTTGATCTGTTGTGTTCTTACTTCCTATCATTCAGCTGATCACAAGGCAAAGAAGTAAGCAGACGGGAAAGTACTCGGGGTTTCCACTGTGTGCCTTGGCAGCCTATTCCCGTATGTCTATTCTTCCTGGATTGTTAAACTCTTATTATTGTACACACTTCAGACTCTAAATCCTAAATCACCAGGAAAGGAGACTTAATCATAGCAAGTGTGACTCCTTCATTCTGGGTCTTTGTCAGGCAAGTAGGAACATGACAAGTTTAATAGTTTATTTTATAGTACAATGCTATAAAATTACAGATCTAAATGTGCAAGAAATGGAGAGTGATATAAAGATATACTACACTGCCACTAAAAATCATATTTTTAAGGACTATTTAATGAACTGGGAAAGTGTACAACACACATATATATCATGATCTCCCTTTTCTAAAATCACACACAATGTACACAGAAAAAATAAATAACTAAAAAGAAATCAATCAAATGCCTACAATAGTTATAAATAGTTAGATGCAGCCTGAGTATCTTTTATTCAAAATGCTTGGAACCAGAAGTGTTTCCAATTTGGGATTTTTTTTCTTATTTTGGAATATTTGCATTATCATTACCAGTTGAGCATCCCAAAATGGAAAATTCCAAATCCAAATTGTTCCAATGAGCATTTTCTTTGACATGCTGGTGCTCAAAAAGTTCCAGATTTTGGAGTAGTTTGGATTTTGGGTTTTTGGATTTGGGATGTTCAACCTGTACAGGTAATTTTATTTTCTTCTTTAATTTTTAAAATTTTCAAAATTTTCCAAAGTAATAGATATTATTTTAGAATCAGATAATAAATATTTAAAATGACTAAGAAATAACTGTTGTAATCAGGTGTGGTAGCTAATGCCTGTAATTGGAAGAATGAAAAGGGAAGATTACTTGAGGCCAGGAGTTCAAGACCAGCCTGGGCAACATAGCGAGACCTGGTCTCTACAGAAAATTTAAAAATTAGCCGGACATGGTGGTGCACACCTGTAATCCTAGCTACTTGGGAGGTTGAGCCAGAAGGATCACTTGAGCTCAGGAGTTGGAGATTGCAGTGAGTTATGATTGAACCATTGCACTCCAGCCTGGGCAACAGAGAGAGACTTGTTTCAAAAAAAAAAGAAAACAAAGGAAAAAGGGAAATGACTCTTGTAGAAATAGTATGGCTCTACAACCCACCCATTTTAAGCACAAAGTTAAGCAGGAAGACAGAGATCTGAATTATTTCTTTATATCATAAATAATTAATAATTATTTTCATAAATAAGGCATAAGAATGGGAAAAAATGTAGAATCTCGTGAGGTCCAATTACTTGGAAACATGTGAGACAATGTTCTTATCCCTTGGAACAAATACATTTATTTGTTTACTTTTATTTATTTACTTACTTATTTACTTAAGTACATCCCCAAAATTGGCCGAGCAAAGTGAAATATGCTATGCTTTGGTGTTCCTTGGAGGTACAGGATAAAGAATGGGAGAAAACTGGAAGAGACAACAAAAGTTTCGGAATGATCCACAAATTCCTTGCATTCGAGTCCCTCCGTCCGCCTCTGACAGTTCCTTACTGAAGGTACAGCATTTTATTCACAGACAGAGGGAGCTTGTCTGTCTTTCCTTCAAGGCGTGAGGACTTTTGCTACTGTCTGTTTATCCAGCATTAGGAAGAGTGACCCCAAATAAGCCCTTGCTGTGTGCTGAAGTCCCACATGAGTAAATGAAAGAGCACTTGGATGATGTACTCCTCCTACATGCGTCCCATTTCAGGAGCTCTGGGAGACAGTCACCTCTTCATGACTGATCCACTACCAGTGAGGAGAAACTCACTAATTGACCACACGGTGGTGGCTCCCTGTTGGAGAGCCACCATCAAATTTAGCTTAAAGTCATTCTCATAAATACTCTTTGTAAAAATTTCAGTTCTCTTCCAACCCTTCAAGGAAGGGTAGACTACAGAGTAAGAATATTAGTAATGTTTCCTATAACTTCTCATTTAGAAAATTCAGAGTTTTACTAAGGAAAAGAAGTAGGCATTTTTTTTCTTTGTCAAATAAACCCATAACGTTTAAGATTTTATCTTACATAATGGAAATTCCCATTGAACTTTGGAGCTTTGCTCTTGAAATTAGCTTGCAATTTTCATATTATCTTGTTCTCAATCTTTTGAAAAGGCTTCATTAGTTATTCAGGAGTGGAATCCATTGTCTTCTTCAAATATATTATCCTCCCAAATCTCTAACTGAGAAACGGAAGCTGAAATGGCATCTTAAATTGTGAGGTATGTGGCTTTGCTACTTTCACTCCAGATATATTTTCGATATTAAGTTTAAGGTCTCTAAACCTCAAAAAAAAAAAAAAAAACTGACTCATGGATTTCCACAAACTTTCTAATAGGTAAAAGTCACCTTATCCTATTTTCACATATTATTATCTTCAATTAAGTTTTTATTACATGATTATCAACTAGTTTTGAAAATTCTGTTATTATTTTGAATTTTTTTGCCTAGGGTAAACATCTTATCTTGATTCTTCTGGAATGTTGATGCCACTATCTCAGCTTCCCTATCTGTAAAATGAGCACAATCAATTGCCCATCTCATAGGACCATTGTAACTTAACAGAGGATGCATGCAAAATGCTTAGCACAGCACAAAATAAACACTTAAGATATATTAGGTATATAATAGTAATTAAAGTCCTGATCCTTCTTGTTTGTCCCTACCTCTGTGAAAGTAGCCTTCTAAATGGTCTACCTGCCAGCGTTCTCTTTCCTGAAGCCTGTTCTCTACAGCAGGGCCAGAGTGATTTTTTAAAAATGTAAATCTAGTCCATTTAAAGTATGGCGCTTTGAGTTGGATAACTTGTCCCAAGGGAGTGGAAATCTGTCCTGCACACTCAGCAGCAGCATCCCAGGCTCACTGATTGCCAACAGCACCTCTTCCCCTTCCCACCAACTGGGCTGATCAAAAATTTTACAGACACTGCCAAATGTCCCTTGAGGGTCAAAATGATCCCTGTTGAGAATCATTGCCTTTAATAAAGACCTCTGATGACTGCTCATATAAAAATTAATCCTTAAACCCTTAACATAGTGAAGAAGGCTTTTATCTTCTTCCTCTAACTCTACAGATTTTTTGAAATCAAGCACTAGGTTTTCCGAAGCAAAAAAAAAAAAAAAAAAAGTCTAGTTCCCAAGCATGTTCAGGTATTTCATGCCCATAAGAGATTTTGTACCAGTTTCTCCCTCTGTCTATAACTAGTCTTTGTTTTTTTCTTCTAGTACAATGGTTCTCAAATTTGAATGGGCATATATCAGAATCACCTAGAGGGTGATTAAAACAGAGTTCTGGCCCCATTGTGCAGAACCATAGAGGTTCTGATTCTGTAGGTCTGGGTGGGGCCTGAGAATCTGTATTTCTAACAGGTCTCCCCACGTGTTGCCCATGCCCTTTGAGAACGAATATTCTAGTCCCTTCTGGGAACGCCTCACCCTTAAGACTCAGGTGTAGTGTTGATCTCAATTAGAAAGTCTTCCTTTACTGCTATGGGCAGTTTGTTTACCTTCTCTGTTTTCATAGTACCTTTTTATTAATAATACAATGAGCCCTTACCACTTTCCCCATCTATTCATCTATCCATCTCCTCTGCGCACTGAGAACATTCAGTGGGAAGTTCTCTTCTACCACCCAGAGACCTGGCATACTTTTCAGCCCTGTGTAGATTATTACCACCTACTCTCTTCAATAAGGATCAATGAAATATAGGATCTTAGAAATCCTTAGATCTCCCTCAGTCCAATACCATGGCCTACTTACCTAGAATCTTTTACTTACACATTTCCATCACCATACAGGCCAGTGGAAGACTGTTTAAGCAAAATAAGGAGGACATTACCCATTCATTTTCCAATTATTGTGCATTGAAAATATGTATGTTTAGCAAGAGAAGCATCTTAACTCCATGAAAGTTAGCTGGGAATACACCACACTTTTTAGTCCTGTAGAACTCCATAGACTCATTGAAATCACCTGCTCTGCTCTGACAGGACCTAACCCGAGGGCAGCAGCGCTACTTTTACAGCATCATGAGGATTTACAACTCCAGGCCCCAGTGGGAGGCCCTGCAGACCCGCCATATTCATAGCCTTCGGCACCAGCAGCTGCTCGGTGAGTTTGACTAACTGACCCGAACCAGGCACCTTAGAAAGGAGCTCGTGCACTGCAGCTCAGAGTCAAGTTTCCAGATAAATAATTCAAGTACAGTGGCCTCTGCCAGTGTGCTATGCTATCAACATAGTTGGTTAGCCAAGTTTAAAAGCACTTATTCCCGACAATAGAAAGCAAGGTTTTATAGATAAATTGAGAGAGTTTAAAGAAATTCGAGTATGGATTGTTATAAAATGTTAACAACTCTCTGAGATTTGCAGGAACTTAGTCAAGTAGATTGATGATCCTGGATTTAGAAAGCCAGTGTTGGCTCCAGCCACAGCTCAGCCCTTTGCTGTTGGTGCGGACTCAGAGGCTTGGCTTACTCACAATAATAGTTATATTTATTGAGCATTTATCAAGTTCCAGGCCTTGTGCTAAGAGCTTTATATATAATATATCATTTTCTCCCCACTTTATGGTTGTGGAAAATGGAAGCTCAGGCAGGTTAGGTAACTTGATGAAGATCACACAGATAGGAAATGTTAGTTAGGATTTCAAGTCAGAGCCTTCGCCTCCAAAGATCATGCATTTTCACCCCCATCCCTTGCTGTCTCTCCTCTTCTATCAACATCTTTGGATTTTATGAAGCACAAATGAAATAATGGTTGTGAAAGACCTTCACAGATAGATTATAAGCGCCAACCTACTGAATGGCATAATTGTTGTCAAGTCCCTTTTCTTGCAGGAAAAGCTTTCAGTTGCTGGCCCCCCTCCATTTCTCTCTTCTCCTAACTCTAATAGAGTGCTTTTTAGAAAAAAAAAATCCACTCACTTGGCATTAGCACATCTACTTTATACTGATGTTCCTGTATTTACACAAAAGGAAGACATGCTTTTTGCAAAGGATTTAATAAAAGCAACATCAACAGTAATTATCTGTTATCAAGGGCTTCCTATGTGGCAGGCACTGTTCTAAGAACTTTGCATGTATTGTCTTATTTAAAACTCAAACACTTCTAGGTGGTAGCTGTCTTTATAACCTACAGTTTACAGAGGAGAAAATTGAAACATGGACAAGTTAAATAACTTGACCAAGTCATGCAACTAGTAAATGGAGGAGCCAGGATTCAGTTTGGAACACAGGATTGTCTGAAGTGTTGTAAAAGCATCATCTTGCAGCTTTTGTTTTAGAGCAAAATTGCATAGAAGCCAATGAATCCAGAAGCAGAGGTAGTCAATGTTTAGTGCACATAAAAGCTGCCTATTACCTTATTAAAATGCAGATTTCCAGGTCTAACCCTCTGAGTTTCTGATTCAGAAGGTCTAGTAAAGTCAGAAATCCACTTTAAGCATTTTTTTTAAATTTTAAAATACTAAAGGGGTACAAATGTTTTTGTTACATGGATAGACTATATAATTCTGAAGTCAGGACTTTCAGTGTGCCTGTCACCAAGAGAGTGTTCATTGTACCCAATATGTGAGTTTTTACCCCCCTCCCCTCTCCCTTCTTAGTTTCCAATGTCTTTTACATCTCTTTGTACCCCTGTGCACCCATCCTTTAGCTCCCATATATTAGTGAGAAGATGCGGTATTTGTTTTTCCATTTCTGAGATATTTCACTTAGGATAATGGTTTTCAGTTCCATCCAAATTGCCATGAAAGACATTATTTCATTCTTTTTATGGTTGAGTAGTACTCCATGGGTGTGTGTGTGTGTGTATACACACACCATGGAGTACTATTTAACTATCCATCTGTCTCTCTCTCTCTATATATATATATAGTTGAATATATATATTGAAAATATATAATCAAATGTGAGATACACATATATATTTAACTATATATATGTGTGTGTGTGTGTGTATCTCACATTTTCTTAATCCACTCATGAATTGATGGGCACTTAGGTTGATTCTGTATCTTTGTAATTTTGAATTGTACTGCAATAAACATTCAAGTGCAGGTGGCTTTTTGATAAAATGATTTATTTTCCTTTGGGTAGATACCCAATAGTGGGATTGCTGAATAGAATGGTAGGTCTACTATTAGCTCTTAGAGAAATCTTCACACTGTTTTTCCATGGAGATTATACATTTTCCAGCCCACCAACAGTGTATAAGCATTCCTTTTCCCCCGCATCCACATCAGCATCTGTTGTTTTTTGACTTTTTAATAACGGTCAGTCTGACAGGGGTAAGGTGGTATCTCATTGTGGTTTCAATTTGCATTTTCCTGATGATTAGTGATGTTGAACATTTTTTTCTTTGGCCATTTGTCTGTTTTCTTTTGAAAAGATTCTGTTCATGTTTTTTGCCCACTTTTTGATGTATATCTTTTTCCTTGCTGATTTCTTTGAGCTCTTTATAGATTCTGGATATTAGTCCTTTGTCAAATGTATAATTTGTGAATATTTGTATTTCATTCTGTAGGTTGCCTATTTACTCTGTTGATTATTTCTTTGTTGTGCAAAAGGTTTTTAATTTAATTAACTCCCATTTATTTATTTTTGTTGTTGCAGTATTTGTCTTTGGGGTCTTCGTCATAAATTCTTTGCCTAGGACTATGGCTAGAAGAGTTTTCCCAACATTTTCTCCTAGAATTTTTATGGTTTCATGCCTTATATTTGAGTCTTTAATCCATCTCAAATTAATTTTTATATATGGCAAGAGATAGGAGTCCTGGTTCATTCTTTTGCATGTGGTTATCCAATTTCTCCAGCAACATTTGTTGAATAAGGGGTCCTTACCCCAATGTATGTTTTTATCTGCTTCGTTGAAGATCAGTTGGATGAGACATTACAACTGATACCACAGAAATACAAACAAAATATCATCTGTGAATACTACAAAAACCTCTATGCACACAGACTAGAAAACTTATAGGAAATGAATAAATTCCTGGAAACACACAACTTCCTGAGTCAAGAAGAAATAGAAATCCTGGATAGACCAATAATAAGCAGCAAGATTGAAGCAGTAATAAAAAATCTCCAAATAAAAACAAAGTCCTAGACCATATAGATTCACAGCCAAATTTTTACTCGACCTACAAAGAAGAACTGGCACATATCCTACAAAAACTATTCCATAACAATGAGAAGAATGGAATATTCCCTAACTCTTTTTATTAAGCCAGTTTCACCTTGATACCAAATCTAAGAAAGGACACAATGAAAAAAGGAAACTACAGACCAATATCCCTCATGAAAATAGATGCAAAAATCCTCAAAGTACTAGCACACCAAATTCAAAAGTGCATTAAAAGATAATTCACCATAATCCAGTGGGCTTCATCCCAGGGATGCAAAGATGGTTCAACATATATGTATTAATAAATGTGATTTACTATATAAACAGAAGCAAAACCAAAGACAATATGTTCATCTCAATAGAAGCAGAAAAATCATTCAATAAAATCCAGCACCCTTTCATGATAAAAACCCTCCACAAACTAGGTGTAGAAGGAACATACTTCAAAATTATAAAAAGCCACATATGACAAACCCACAGTCAATATCATACTGAATAGGAAAAAGTTGAAAGCAATCCCTCTAAGATCTGGAACAAGACATAGGTGCCCATTGTCACCCCATCTATTCAACATAGTACTAGAAGTCCCAACCAAAGAAATCAGGCAAGAGAAAGAAATGAAAGGAATTCAAATTGGGAAAGAGTAGGTCAAACTATCCCTGTCTGCCAATGATATGACCGTGTATCTAGAAAATCCTAAAGACTCCACCAAAGATTCCTAGAATTGATAAATAAATTCATCAAAATCTCAGGTTACAAAATCAATATACACAAATCAGTAGCATTTCTGTATATTAATAAAAGTCAAGCTGAGAGTCAAATCAAAGACTCAACACCATTTTCAATAGCAAGAAAGAAAATAAAATACCTAGGAATATACTTAGCCAAGGAGTTGAAAGATCTCTACAAGGAGAACTACAAAACACTGATGAAAGAATTTGTAGATGACACAAACAAATGGAAAAACATCCTATGCTCTTGTATTAGTAGAATCAACATAGTTAAAATGTGTATACTGCCCAAAGTGATTTATAGATTCAATGCAATTCCCATCAAAATACCAACATCTTACTTTACAGATCTAGAAAAAATAATTCAAAGCTTCATTTAGAACCAAAAAAGAGCCCAAATAGCTAAAGTAATCTTAAGCAAAAAGAACACATCTGGAGGTATCACATTACCTGACTTCAAATGATACTTACCAGAAGGCTATAGTAACAAAAACAGCATTATACTGGTATAAAAGTAGAGACAAAGACCAATGGAACAGACTAGAATACCCAGAAATAAAACCATATAACTAAGTAAGCATTTTTTAAAACATGTGGCCTCAGCCTGATGATTCTCTGGTATATGGTCTATAGACTACACTTTGAGATACACTTAGAGATATCAAATATATCTTTTTGATTTGAAGAAAGTTTTGATATCAAAAATAATTAGTTCATGCAAATATTCCTCATGGCTCAAGTCACTTTCCAAATGATTTGACATGTTAATAAGTATTTATTAACTTATGGAATAAGAAATGCAAAAGAGAAAAAATACACTCTTGTTCTCAAAGATAATATAATTTGGGCATGCTAACTACAGAATAGAAGAAATTTTGTACACATAACTAAATATTTGCAGTTTTGTTTGCTTATTTGTTTTATAAAATTGTTGACTTTGAAGTTTCTTTCATTTCTTTCCCATAGGTTATATTACTCAACAGGAAGCCTTGTCTTATGCTGTTGTACTTAGAGATTCAATCAAGAGAGCCTCAACCAAGGTAGCTTCTCAAAGAACCAGTCCCTGGAAATCTTCAGCTATGACAAGAAAATGTCCTTCAGCACTACTCTCTGTCTGTGGTTCTACCAAAGGTCCAAAGTACAGGGTGCCAAACCCTCAGGAACTGAGACTTGGCAACATTTTCTGAAACATGCAGTTTCATGTATCCTGACCTCTAGCATCCATGTATCTAGTGGGCATCTAGTGGGTCCTCATTACATAGTTGTTCAATGACAGTGAATGAAAGAAAAATTTCTAATGCAAACCTCAAACCTAAATATTAATATAATCGCTCTCCTATTCACATAAATTTTGCCAGCAAAACAAGTTGAGAGGTTTGGGAGCAATGAAGTAGAGAGTAAGCAAGTATTTTCACATATAATCTGTAGAGTAAAATGACTTAAAGCTTTCAAAGTAAAAGCTTCCTTTGAATTATAACCTACTAGATAATTCCAAAAATAGTGAAAGGGGACATGTGACCAGAAGGTTCCAGTTCCTCTGTCACTGGGTGACCATTACCTGCAAGCCACCTGCACTGCACATATTGAAAATATAGAAACTAACATGGAATTAACATGGACCACAGAGGGCTCTAGAGCCATGTTATCTCAGCAACACTATACATTTCCTTCCTGTCTTCTCCTTCCATCATTGGCATTCAACTTGGCCCAAAAGCTTCTGGTTCTCATCTGACTTGATCACTTCATGTCATCCTAAACTTGCACTTATCATTCTGCCACAGCTGGATTGATTTTACACAGCTGTAATTGGCCTTGACACGGGTAAGAGAATTCATGCACACACCTTTTCCTAGCAGCTAAAGAAACACCCTTAGCAGCACATAAAGTAGCCCAAAGAACTGATCTCAAATCTTACCTTTCTGTGGCCTCAGAGGTTTTAAGCAAAGCATACAAGACTATACCAATAAGCAAAAAAAGAGAAAATAGTCAAATTGTTCTGTAGACAGTATAGCATTACATTAGTCATGTTTAATAGTTATTTTCATCAGTGATTTTTCTGTGTGTGTTAAAAATTAATCACCAGTGCTCATGTAAAGTCAAACTAAAAAAATACCTCTTTCTCATCTTTTATTTTAAATGCTTTACCCCATTCAAATCATCCAATGACTTTGTCATGCCTATGAAAGGAATCGGTTGAGATGGGATATAAAATTGCTTAACAAAGGAAGTGCTAACATTGATCTGAAAGGAAGATGCTACATTATTGCCAGGAAAAAATCATTGATGATTATAATTATCTTCTCTTTGCAACCATTAACATGTAAGATATAAAAGTTGTCATGAGATTCTGAAAACTCCCAATACAAGTTCTGAAATCCTATCTGAATGTTATTGAGGAGGGACAAGGGTCTTGGTTGGCCCACTAGTCTGATGGGAAGTCTTGGGGAAGCTGATATTGACCTTGCTGTGGTCATTCACTTAATCATAAAGAAGCTTCTTGACCTCTGCAAATTTGGGCCCTGACTCACATACTCTAGCTTCACAGTTCTACATACAGAATTATTAGGAAGGATTAAAAGAAGAAAAGAATTAAATGGAGCTGGGGCAAGCTATGGGGTAGCCCCCTTAAGAGACAGAAGTTTGTGGTAGACCTAATTTAGCCTTTACTAACCTTCCCATTGTTTCCACGATGGGCCTTTTATCCCTGTGAACTGCTTGCGTGCGCTTGTACCTTAGACATTTTTTGTTGTTGGGTATAGATATTTGCTGTGTAAGCCTTAGTTAGTGATGCAGAATATCAAAAAGGCCATTTATAATTCTGAGCTACATCCCTGAAAAGTCTCAGAAGAACCTTGTTTCTGAGAGAGACTTCTAAGATCTGATTGACAGGTGAATGTTACAGGTCCATAAGAAAGACAGATAGATCTAAGGTGGTGCAGAAGGTCCCAATTTTTGGTAACCCCTTGAGCTCCTCATCTGAAGTTTATAAGGAATTCAATTGGTTATGAAGCTGGAAGAAAGGTGTTCACCTGGAAGGACACTGAGAAAGATGATCAAAGGGGAAGAGAGGAAAACCTACAACTTTTAGGAAAGTCTAATACTTTGACCTTTTGGAGACTATATTGCTTGCTCTCACAGTGTCAGTAGACATCATCAGAATCTAAAGTCCTGGAGATCAGTGAGCATTTTACCTGAAATTGCTAGCACCTAGAACAACTCCTGGTCTGCAGTAGGCAATCAGTAATACTTATTGAATAATAATGAAGTTTTCAAAGATTCTACAGGTCATACTGGCTTCTGACTTTGTGATATCATTCTAGGGTCCCAGGAAACCACAAGTATTGATTAGGGGTAGCAGTACTATGTCCAAGACAGATGAGGGGAAGAGTTCACCCCAGATGCAAGCAATAGAGGGTACACTGTCTGTAAAGAATGTTAATAATAAAGCTGACTGAAAGTTGGTCTACTTTTTATTATCACCATCAGCCAGCAATTTTAAACAATTGCTGAGGTTATTGTTGAGTTTAAAATAGAATATATGTAAGCTTCAAAGTAGCACATTTTTATTTTTTTTTCTTTAATAACCATTTTATCCCACATAGAACGTAGTTCAGAGAACTCCCTGCTAAATGGTTGGCTTCCAACACAATAAGAGTTCACATGTCTCCAGCCACTGTGGTACTGCATATTCTTGCACTTAAATGACAGATTGAAATGAACAATGATTGTATCATGAATGTAAAGACAAGGAACAGAACTTAAATTACTTCAATTTTTTATTCTATGTGGCCACTCAGAGTTTTTCTTTTTTTAAACAATTTTATTGAGGTGTAATTTATGTGCAATAAATGCACCGAAAGTTTAACGAATCTTGAGAAATGCACGCAGTTACCTAATCAGCACCACAATCATGATATAGAATGTTTCCATTACCTCAAATTTTCCCATGTCCTTTTGTAGTCAATCTCCTCCCCCAAATCCTGGCCCAGGAAGAATCACTGATCTGCTTTCTATCACTGTAGTTTTCCTTTTTCTAGAATTTTGCATAATTACAATCAGAGTATATAGTCTTTTGTGTCTGGCTTCTATCACCTACCATGATGCTACTGAGGTTCATCATGTCACATATGTCAGTAGTTTGTTGCTCTTCATTGCTGAGTCGTGTTCTACTGTACACATACACCACAGTTGCTTATCCATTCACTGGTGAGCATTCGGATTGTTTCTAGCTTTGGACTATTATGAATAAAACTGCTATAAATATTTGAATGTAAGCCTTTGCATGAACACAGTTTTTATTTCTCTTGGGATGATTCCAAGGAGCACAGTTATCAGGTCATATGGCAGATTTAGCTTTAACCCTACAAGATACCATTGTAGTGTTTTCCTAAGTGGCTGTACCATTTTGCATTCCCACTAGCAGTGTACAAGAGTCTTAACTGCACCACATTCTCGCAATGTCAGGCATTTTAATTTTTGATTATAGTGACTGTGGCTGCTGGGCTGAGAAGAACATGGGTGTGTGGAAAATATGAGAATTGCCATTATTAATTACGGTCACTTTTTTTTTAATGGGAACTGTGGCAAATGTCAAGGACAAAGGTTGGATGTGGGGGTGGTCATGGTGATAATCTTGGAGATTTAATAGAATAAATTCCAAAGTCTAGCAGTCAACTCTGATAAGATGACTCTCCAGTTTATGTGTAGGGGAGGACAGGATTGGAAGAAGTGAAGAAGAAGAAAAAGCAACCCCCCTGTGGTAAGGACCATCCCTGGACCACACTGTGGCATGGATTCAGTGTGTGCTCATTAACTTCTCACTTTTCCTTGTTTACATCATTCTTCAGTTTCAGCAATCAATACCCCCCCACCACCAAAATCTTTATGTACTACACTAGTTATTAACTGATAGATAATAAAGTGCTCCAAAATTTAGTGACTTAAAGCAATATTTACTATCTCACAGTTTCTGTGGTCAGGAATCTATGCATGGCTTATCTGGATCTTCTGGTTCAGGTCTCACACAAGTCTGCAATTGAGGTGTCAACTGAGGCTGTGGTCTCATCTGAAGATTCAACCAGGGAAGGATCCACTTCCAAGCTCACTCATGTAATTGTTAGCAGAGTTTAGTTCCCTGGGGCCTGGTGGACTCAGGGCCTCAGTACGTTACTGGCTGTTGGCCGGAGGCTGCCCTCGGTTCCTTGCCACGTAGACCTCTCAATAGGGCAGCTCACAAACAGCAGCTTATTTCATCAGAGTTAGAAAATGAAATGAAAGAGACAGTGCGTATCAGGTGGAAGTTCCAGTCTTTTATAACCTAATGTATCACTTTTGCTTTGTTCTATTCAGTAGAAACAGGTCACTAGGTCCAGCCCCTACACAAAGGTAGGGGATTCCTCAAAGCTGTGAATACTAGAAGGTGGGCATCATCAGGAACCATTTTGGAAGCTGAAGGACTAGGCCAGGACTAGGATGAAGTGAATGACATGCCTATGGTGCAAAATTGAAGGAAATACTCATTCTTGCACAATCCTCATAGTGAATGTCCCCAGGTCCCTGGTTCACCTTACCTCATCCCCACCCTGCTGTCTGCGACATACACCAATGTACTCATTCTGACTTCTGACTCCCAGTCAGGGCTCTCAGCCAAGACAACCAATCTAGCCTGCCTCTCAGGCAACCGTCCTGCAATGCACACTTCCTCTCTGCCATGCCCCTTTCTCATAACCTAGCTGCTTTTTGTTCCAATCCTCCAACATACTCTTAGAGGAAAATAATACAAAATAAGCCTAAAACAGTTAATAATTAATATTTAATTCTTGTATAACCTATATATTTAGAGCAATATGTATCAGAACACCATTCATATACCAGATACACTGAGGATACTTAAAGAAAATGCAAATTCCTGGGTCCCATTCTAGACCCAGTGGATCAGAATCCTAGGTGATACTTAAGCTTACTAAAAGTACAATGGCTTTTTACATTTAATGAGTAACTTCAAAATCATATGTTTTAACCCTAAAAAAAAACCCTGAATTTCTGTTTGGCAAGTTTGGCAAACATTTAGGGGCAAGAGTTGCGTGACAAAAGAGGCTCTTTTGGATAGGAGAAGTATCTCCTTGATAGTCCTCAATATCCCGTATATGTAAATCCTCAATATGTAACTTCTCAATATGTAAACAAGCTCCATATTATTCTTGCTTAAAAGCCAAGTCAAGCCAATGTTATCACTCAGTACCTGAAGCTACTAAAATGATTTATTTTCCCTCAAATCAGTATTATTGAATATGCATTGCAATTCCACCAAAATGGATTCTGCTTTGGATTTTCCTACCAGTCCCTATGTTGTGATGAAGGCCATAGAAACATGTCGAAGAGTTCCTGCACCTTTTCAATTAAAATGAGTTGCTAATTGCATCAGTGCTTGTAGAGGAAACCATTATATCAGCCTCATTGACTCCGCTTTCCCTCTAAGTTACAATCAGTTGCCTGAAATGTAATCAATCCCTATGTTGG